CGGTACAGACCTCGTGTACCGCTGGGGGGCCAGGCCGGGAGGCCCAGCGCACGCGGTGGTCGGGGCCCGGGGCTCGGATGGCCAGTGCGCCCCACGTGCGGCCGCGCCCAGAGCAGCAGTGGGGGCGCCCGCCGCCCTGACCGCTGAGGGGGTCGTCCACAGCTGCCCTGTCTCCCGGGGGAGATACACGCCACAGGAGGGCTTCTGGGAGGAGGTGGACGGGAGAGGCCCCGGGAAGAGCAAACGCCCGGCAGGCGCTTACTGGTGCTGGTCTGCACGAGTGGTGTGGGCGTGTTTACCCCCTTTACCCTTCCTGACCCTGGAGGTCAGGACCCTGACGGTGCCCATCTTACAGGCAAGGAAATAGGACCGAGAGGCTCAGGCTGACCCCACCCTGCACCTCTCCCTGGAGGTGGGGGGGACTCAGGAAGAGGGGGAGAGAAGGGGGCAGGCGTCCCAGGCAGGAGACCTCAGGATCAGAGAGGCTCCAGCTAAGCAGGGCAGGTTGAAAGAGGAGGCGGAGGAGGAGCAGCAGAAGCCAGACGCGGCGCGGGGGTCGAGGGGTCATGGGGGGCCCCGAGAGGGCAGGGGTCCAGGCCTAAGGCGGGACCACCTCTCTCCGGGAGCAGCTGTCCCACAGCCCGCCAGAGCGAGGGGGCACGACCACGGTCTTGAGTTACCCCGAGCGAGCACGGCCAGGTCGTGTTTCTGAGGGGAACGGAGGTGCCGCGCCGCTGATGTCCCCTGGGGCGGCCTGGGATCTGAGGGATTGGATCTCCCAACTTCAAAGGGGCCCCAGGCCCCCTGAAACCCACACCATGCGCACAGGGGGCTTTGCCAAGTGCCTGGGCGGGGCGGGAACCCGAGCCCCGGGGCACACGCTGCCCCGCCCCCTCCCCACAATCAGCACCCGGAGACGGGCATAGACTGTCCTCCGGTCCTGCAGACAGACGGCTGCCCACCGTCTGGGGCCAAGCAAAGAGGGCACAGGGCGGCTGAGCTCTGCCCACAGGCTCTGCACATCCAGGGGTGGGACGGCGTGGCTGGGCCACGGGCCACGGTGCAGAGCCGGTGTCCAGCTCGGGAGCTTGATCTCCAGCAGGCCTGCCTCTCATCCCCGCGCCTCTGAGCCTCGGTTTCCCCATCTGTAGTTATCTGTTGACTTTCCCACTGAACTCCGAGAGGCAGAGCCATGAATCACCTCGCGGTGATTCGGGAAGGCGTAGCAGGAAGGCCAGCGGGAGCTCGGGGCAAAGTCCGCCGGCCTCAGCCTGCCCGCCTCCGGGGAAGGGCGCACCCCTGCTCCAACGCAGGGCTCCGATCAAAGCCTGGGATCTCAGGAGGAATTCAAGACTCGCAGGCGGGGAGAGCAGTTGTCTGTTACTGTGTGACAAATGGCAGCTGAAGGGAACAAATACCTGTCACCTGTCACAGCGTCCGGGGGTCAGGAGTGTGGGCGCATCTCAGCCGGGTCGCCTGGTGCCGGGCCTCCCCGCCGGTGGCACCGAAGATCAGCAGGGGCTGCTGGCTCGTCTGGAGGCCCCCGTCCAGGGTGGCTGCTCCCGTGGCCGCAGGCGGGAGCCCTCGGTGCTTTGCACACAGGCCCGCCCGCAGGTCCTGAGTGTCCTGCAACACGGTGGCCAGTGGCCCCCAAGTGGGCGACTGACGGATAGCAGGCCGGAAGCCACAGTGCCTCACATGACCTACGTCCAGAGCCAGACACCCTCCTTCCCCCATATCCTGCCCATTAGGGAGGCACCAAGTCCAGCCTGTGTAGACGGGCAGCGAACTGGGCTCCACTGCTTGGAGGGAGGGGAGCTCAAAGCATCTGTGGCCAATTTCTGTAACCACGACAGGGGCTGACCTGTCAGTCTCTGCAGATCCCAGATGCACTTGCCCTTTGACCCCCCATCCCTTCTGAGACTGTACCCTGCAGGCCTCAACGCAAGCACCGTGTCACTCGGCTATTGGTAGAGGCCATCCGTTCATCCCACACAATGTTCCGTAGCCGAGTGAGGTGGGGAGATGAGCGTGCAGAGACAGATGGGAGTCTCTGTGTGGAGTCCTGGGGAATCATGTCCAAGAGATGCTGTGAAACCCAAGAAGGGAGGCAGGGAACAGGGAGGGTGGACGGTCCCGTGTTGAAGGACAGAGGGAGGTGTGGACACTTACCCGTATTCGCTGCTGTTTGCATCAAGAAACTCTGGAAGGAAACACAGGAATCTGCCCCAAGTGCTTCCCCCGCAGGGCTGGGGCAGAGGGTCCGTGGGTCAGGGGAGAGGGTAGGGGTGAGGCTTCTCCCGTTGTCTCGGGTTTGGGAAAGGTGTCAGCTACGCACACGTTTCGTAGCTGAAAGAATGTAGAATAATCATCCCACTAGTGGCGAAGGCAGTCAGCTGCCCGCCCCCCCGCCCCAGCGCTTCAGGGACCCCAGGGCCGGGCCGACGGGGCCCTCAAGCTCACCCATCTCCCTGTGGGCCCCAGGGCGGCTTCCTGATGCCTTGCGGCACTGGGGGCCCCTCCCCGAAGCTGCCTGTCAGCCCCCTCCTCGGGGGCTCACGGCCCAGCCAGGCACCACACGGATTCTGACCCTCTTCCCTCCTTCTCTCCCAGCCAAGAAACCCTCACTCCTCAGGAAGTCGACCTGTGCGGCGACCCAGCTGAGGGCCCCACTCCCCAGGTATGTAGCTGAGGACAGCTGGGGACTGTCAGGCCGCCTCTGGGGCCGGAGGCGCCTGCCCCCGCCCCCGCCCCCCCCAGCTCCCCGCTCTGCCGGGACCGGGGCAGCCTCCCTGGGACACCTGCTCCTGGCGCCTGCTGTCGGGGACGGGCACGTGGCCTCGAGCCGCAGCCTGGGGCCCGGGAGGGGTGCAGACAGCGGGTGCCACCTGACATCCTCCACGGCGCCCAGCACGCCGGCCGCTGCTTCCGTGATCCCCTCACGGCACCTCCCTCGAGCCAGTGCCGGGACAGTCACGGTCTTAAGCAGGAAGGTGTGCTGGTCCCACCATGCTCTCTGCTAGACGCCTAATGAAGAGGTCTTGGATTATTCCACCTTTGCTAGGACCCTCGGAGAAGGTTCTGGCATTATTCCTAGGTCACAGGTAGAGAGCCCGAGGCTAAGTAAGGCTGGATGACATGTCACCACGGGGCCACTGGCCCCAGCTCCCCCCGCCCAACTCACCCCACCCACGGGGCACAGCTTGGAGCCTGGAACTGTGGGGCCTTCATGGCGTCTGACGCTGCCACAGCCTTACCTGCCACCTGCTGGAAAGTTCTGGAAGCTATGGGGAGGTCAGGGGCCCTTGCCCATCTGCACCCTCACCCCATGGGCTTCCAGGCCTTTTGCAGTCGAAGCCCTGGGCCTGGGCCTGGCCCCTTAGGCTGTCTGCGAAGTTCAGAAGGGCAGGCCCCACAGGCCATAGCCCCTCCTCGCTCTTATTGGGGACAGACACCAGCCCCCAGCGGGTTCGGCAGGGCTTGACTCACACTGAATCGCCACCCAGGAAACGGCAGACAGGCTCTGGCTATCGGCCGTCTCAGTAGGGAGGGACAGGGGGCACCTCAAGGCGTGCGCTGGCCCCGGGCAGGGTGCACAGAGAGACGGGGCTGCCCTTGCTCGACCTGCATCCCTGCTGCCTACTCGCTCCCGAGCCCCCTCCAGACCCTGCAGGGTCCACGCTGTCCTCTGAGACCTGACCCCGCTCCCCCAGTCCGTTCCCAGGACACAGAGGCCCTCTGAGTGTCCCCAAGCTGCCCTGCACCTGCCTGTGCCCACAGCCCCTGCTCCCCAGTGCCCTCTCCCTCCTGGTGCCCTGAGGCTGCCCATCCAGGCCCCCAGAGCCAGTACCTCCCCCTCTGGAAGGCTTGCTTTGGTGCCACAAGATGGCCAAGCCGATGGCCGTGGTTTGTGACCTCCGCCCTCCAGGGACAGCAGGATGAGGCGTCTGCTGGCGGGAGCGGGAGTCACTGCTGCTCACAGCCGATGACCGTGTTGAGCCATGCAGCCAAGCCCGCTGGCAGAGGGACAGGCTGGGGCAGTCGGGGACAGTCCTTCCACGGGGACGGCGGAATCTTGAGTAATAATCCCACCTACCTCCCCAGAGGCCCCAGCAGGGAGCCTTCGGAGCAGAGCTGGGGGCGCTGATATTCAGACTGACGGGCGCACCCAGAGGGCAGAGCCTTGTGCTCCCCCTTAAAACAGACACAGACCTCCAGGTAACCCTGCCCCGAGGTGCCGCTGCTGCCGCCTAGAGGGGCCAACCGACCCCCGTTCTCATCTGGCTTCAGGCGGGGGCGGGGGCAGCACAGAAGCCCATGCACAGAGGGGACACTGAGACACAGAAGTGGGGCACTCACGTGTGCCAGCTCATGTAGAGCGTGGCACCTTCGGACAGCCCGGGGAGGGAGGCACCGTTAGCTGTCCCTGCAAGGTCAAGGGTGTGGAAGCTGACCTTTCCCGGCCGTGAGGGCCTGTGTGTGTGAGGCCCAGCTGCAGCTGCCTCTGGGGCCCAGGGTCCGCAGAAACAGACCGGCAAACCACACGAGCAGCACACATCCCCCAGGGGCCGGTCTGCGGGGACAGTCTGCGACAGCCGGCAGGTGCATGGAGCCCAGGGGGCTCGCCCCAGGTCAGAGCCGGTCAGCGGGGGCGAGGCCACGCACAGGGCCGCTATGGCCTGGTCAGCGCGTGGCAGGGCTGCTCTGTGGGCGGCCAGGGTCTTCTGAGACCTTGTCCCCCACAAAGGGAGCCCTCCCCCAGTATGGCAGGAACCCGCCCCCCACCTGTGAAGGGGCCGTTGGAATGGAGCCCCGTCCCCCGAGGGCAGAGGCCTGTGTGCAGCTGCTTGGGCCCCCCACCCCCCACCCCCCACCCCAGCAGCCACAGCCTCCCCTCACCCTGCACTTTCTTTGCAGGCCCCATTCAGGACCATGAGAGCAGTCTTCTCCAGGGGCCCCCTCGGCGCACCGCGTCCTCCGAGCGCCCAGACGGAGGGGTCATGCCTGGGGAGCAGCCCCGCAGAGCGCCGCGCGCAGCCATGACCCGAGACCTGCAGCCCTGCCCAGGGGCCGGGGGCACAGGGGGCCCCTCCCGGCCCCCCAGTGAGGACGGCGTCCCAGCCAGCAGGACCGCTAAGGCCACAGGCTGCGAGGCCCAGGCTGGGGGGCCTCCAGAAACCCAGCAGTGGCATGCCGGGCCGGGGGAGCCCAAGGCCTCACTCCCAAGAACCCCGTCCCTGAGCAGCGTCCCGGGGGAGGGAGGCGGCCCCCGGGCCCCGCCAGGGAGGAGCCGCACGCAGGCCAGCAGCGCGGACGGGAGCCCCCAGCAGCTCTACACTCGGAACCTCTCCGGCTCCCGGGCCAGACCCGCTCTGGACATGACTCCCGAGGGCCCACCGTGCAAGGACCCCGGGGCCCCCGAGGCAGAGGCCCCAGAAGAGCTCAGTTTCCAAAGGTGCTTCCAGGAGGCCCCCTCCAGCTTTACCTCCACCAACTATACCTCACCGAACACCGCCTCCGGGCCCCCGCCCCTCAGGGCCCCCCCGGGCAGCGGCGCCAGCCCCAGCCCGCCAGCCCCCTACTCGGAACCCCCGGGCGGCGGGGCCGACGCCTGGCCTCCCGCTGTTGACAACAGCTTCCCAGGTGCTAGATTCGGGGTCCCTTCTTCCAAACCGGAGCCTTTTCCTGAAGGGGACAGCCCCGGGGTGGCCTCCTTCCAGTACCCCTTCCCGGCTCTGCGTGGGGCCGGCCCGAAACCCTTCCCCGAGGGCACGGCCCGGCCCGAGTTCGCAGAGAGACCGCTGGTGTTTGCCTTCCGTCAGTCCCGGGGAGCATGGCCGGAGGAGGCGCTGAGCCCCGGCTCAGCCTTCCCCCTGCCCAGCCAGCCCGCTCCCCAGCCCCCGCCCTGCTACCCGGGGCAGCCCGGCCTCGACCCTCCTGGTGACCTCGGCTGTGCTACCCCACAGCCCGGTGCTGCTCACCCGGCCCCCAGCCCCTTCTCGGAGAGCACAGCCACCTTTCCGGACAGTTTACACAAGAGCCTGACCAAAGCACTCCCTGAGAGGCCGCCTTCGGCCCACGAGGGGCTGGCGAGCCCCAGGGGACCCCCGAACTCTCTGCCACAGAGGCACTTTCCTGGGCAGGCCTACGGGAGCCCCGGAGCCAGCGGAGTGAGCTCCAGCCCCGGGTCTCTGGACACGGAGCTGGGCGCCCCGGGGCCTCTGCCCACCAGACTGCCCCCGCTGTGGGACCCTGCCGCCGCCCCTTACCCCACGCCTCCCCTGGGGCCCCCAGCCACGGCCAGGAATGCATTCTTTGAAGGCCAGCCCGGCCTAGGCCAGTGCCTTGGCCTCCCCCAGACTCCCCCTCTGCCCTGGCCCCAGGTACTCCCAGCCGCCGGGCCCAGCCCCCACCGAGTGGAGGTGCTGAGCCGGCTGCCTTTCCCCCAGGGGGGCCCAGAGTGGCCGGGGGGCGGCCAGGGAGCCCCGGGCGCTGCCGTGGGCAAGACGGCGGGGCCGGGGGAGAAGCTGGCGGTGCTGAGAAGCAGCCCAGGCCAGCGCGGCGGCTCCCCCGGGCTCTTCCCCTACAATGGGCTGAAGGACCCCGCAGCCCAGCCCCTGTTCTTCGCCGTGGCCCAGCCCCAGGTCTCCCCCCGGGCGACACCCTGCCTGCCCCCTCCCAGGGTGGTGGGCGCCTCTCCCTGCCAGTCCCCGCTGCCCTCGCCCGCCGCCAACACGGCCAGCAGCAGCTCCTGCTCGTCGCTGTCCCCCCTGCCTAGCAGCCCGGCCAACCCCAGCTCAGAAGAGAGCCAGCTCCCCGGCCCCCTTGGGCCTTCCGCCTTCTTCCACCCACCCCCTCATGCCCAGGAGACCGGCAGCCCCTACCCGTCCCCCGAGCCCCCCCACACTGTCCCCATTCACTACCAACCCGAGTGCCTCAGAGCCTTCCCTTTCCCCACAGACGGGCTGGGGGCCGAGGGCACCTTCAAATGCCTGGAGGAGACCCCGTTCCCCAGCGCGGGCCCTGAGGGCGGCGGCAGAGGGCTGGAGGGCTTCCCCCGGGAGCCACCCCCCTACCCCGCCCACCACTTCCCCCTCAGCAGTGCCAGCCTGGACCAGCTGGATGTGCTGCTCACGTGCCGGCAGTGCGACCAGAACTACGGCAGCCTGGCCGCCTTCCTGGGACACCGGCAGTTCTGCAGCGCGCTCCTGGCCAGGGCCAAGGACGGCCCCCGGCAGCCCCCCGGGGCCCCCGCCGACCCTGGCCTGCTCGGCCCCACCAAGGCGGCCCCCTTCCTGCCCACCGGGGACGTCCGGGCTGACGGCAAAGACGACCCCCTGAGGACCAGTTTCCTGCCGGGCCTGGCTGCTGCCCCCTTCCCGCTCCCGGCGGGGGGCCTGGACCCCGAGGACGACGCCAAGCTGGACAGTCTCATCACCGAGGCGCTCAACGGCCTGGGGTACCAGTCGGACACCCCCGAGATCGACAGCAGCTTCATCGACGTCTTTGCTGACGAGGAGCCTTCGGGGCCCAGAGGCCCTGGTGCTGGGCAGCCCCCCAGGACCAGGGTGGGGACGGCACCAGAGAGTAAGGCCCAGGCCCCGCTCCCAGCCGGGGCCACCCCGCCAGAGCCCCCGGGCCCCCCGCCCGGGAGCAGGAGCCCCCTGACCCGCAGCAGACCCCAAACCCGCTCCCTGGGCCCAGCGCCTGCGGACGCCGATGGGGCCGGCCCGGCTCAGCACAGGAGAGGGAAGCGGTTTAAGCTGTTCCAGAAGGGCCTGGACACAGCCAGCACCACCAAGGGCCGCAAGGGCCCCAGAGCCACTCGCCCGAGGCCGAGGAGGAAAGGCCACAGGGCTGAGCCGTCCCTGCTGCGCCTCCGGGACCTCAGGACCCAGGCCCCTGAGAGCCAGGGAGCCCCGGCCAGACAGGCCCTGCCCGCCGACACCAGGAGCTCCCAGCGCCTCCGGCGCTCCCCCGGGAAGGCCTCCAGGCGGAGGCAGCTGCGGGGCGGAACCTGGAGCAAGGAGCTCATCCACAAGATCGTCCTGCAGAAGAACAAGCACCCCGGGGGGCAGGGGCAGGGCGGGCGCTGCCCCCCGGGGTCCTCGGGGACGGCACCCAGCAGCGCCGCGGCCGGGCCCCAAGGGCTCACGTGCGCCTCAGAGTCGGAGTCGGAGGACGGCTCGCGGCCACGGGGCTCCCGCCTCAGAGGCCGGCCCCGCCACGGCTGCCGGCGGTGGCGCCGGGGCACCAGGCAGAAGGAAGGGGAGGTGGCCCTGGGTCCCCAGGAGGATCCAGGGCGGCGGAAACCCAGGCCGGAGGCCACAGAGGGCGGGGGCTCCCCAAGCCCAGGCCCCGAGCAGGGAGGCCCCGAGCACCTGCTGCAGGCTCCCGCCAGCGCCGACGCCCCCGAGGACTGTCCAGCACCAGATGTCCCCCGAGACAGCAAGAGCCCTGAACCCGCTGAGAGGCTCCCCTTGGACGGCCTGAAAGTTCCCGGAGACGTTCCGAGCTCCTCTCCAGCCCCTTGTGCGAGAGGAAGCCCCTGCCCTCCAGCCCCAGCGCGGCCAGAGCCCGGCAGAGGGGACCCCCGGGGGTGCCGTGGGAGCCCACCAGCCGCGGGCACAAGCAGTCTGCCGGGCACTGCCCGGTGCACGGAGCCGCCCATCTCCCGGGACGAAGAGGACCCCCCTGCCTACCCACCAGGGGAACTGCTGGTGCCCGTCGCCAGCACCGCCGACGCCGCCTACCTTGAATCTGGCGTCCTGTTTTTGAAGACCTCTGATCTTGGTTGTGACTCTGCTCCTTTTAACAGAGACTCTGTGGGGGTTCCCTTTGCCCAGAAGAGACCCCAGCCCTACAACAGCCCCCCCAGCAAATTGTTCCTTGGACCCAAAGACCTGCCCGGCTGTTTCCAAGAAGACCTGTACTCCAAGCCCTTAGAACCAGACGCTCTGCCTGCTAGCGGCGGGCGCCTTCCCCAGGAGGCTGTGGGCCCCGGTTCCCTGGAGCCAAAACCACCCAGGAGTCCACCCTACACCATCCGAGGGGGCCCAGGTGGGCCTGAATCGCCACCGCTGACCTTGGAGGCCACACCCCTCTTCTCGGGGCTGCCTGTGGACAGATTTGAGCCGCCAATCTACAGCAGCCTGCCCGGAAGCGGAGACACACACCCATCGCTGGCATGTGCCCCCCCTCCGCCAAGGAAACCCCAGTTAGAGCCGCCATACTCCCCTTTCCTGCCCGACAAGGGCTGGTCCCTGCTGGAGGGGTGCCCCGTGCTGGCCAGCCATCTTCCTGACCTCCTGGGGGAGAAGGCATTCAGCGGGAAATGCCCCGGTGACGTGACAGAGGCCGCCAGCCCCCCACCTCCGCCCGGCAAGGTCAGCGAATGTGGCGTCCCTTTCACGGGCAGCCTGTCCGAAGATGAACTCGAAATCAAAAGACTGGTGGCCGAATTGGAAAGTCAGCTACAGAGTAAAGGTGCGCACGAGGCCCCAGAGCTGCTGTGTGTGGCTGGGCACGCGGGCAGGACGCACGCGGGCGCAGGGCCCCCCCTGCCCTCCCCCCCGGCCACCTCGACCCCCAGGGACGCCGAGGCCGACCTCACCGGTCTTGGGGAATTGAGTCCATGCTCAGAAGGGACAGGAACCGCAGTGGCCGCCACGGAAGGGACGCCAAGGAGCATCCGGGAGTGGCCCTCATCTCACCCGGGAGAAGCAGCCCTCTCCCCCGGTGCGCGTGCAGACGTGGCATCCGGGGCTCCCGTGAGCCTCGGTGGGGCCGACAGCAGCGTCCGAGCTGTGCAGACAGCCAGCGTCTCCGAGACAGGGCCCCCCACGGCAGCAGGGGACTGCGGGGTCCACCCGGAAGTCTGGCTGGCTGGCTCTAGAGAGCCATTCAAACCTCCACTGGACGTGAGGAGCTTAGCAAAGTGCAGCCCAAACCGTGAGCCTTTTCTCCCTAAAAATAACAGGGCCCCCGGGGTGCACCAGAGTGACACCCTGCTCTTCCTTCCCTGCACACAGGCGCTCGGGCCCTGCCTAGAGCCCCCCACGCCGGAGGCATCTCAGGGCGCCGCCCCTTCCTGTGGTGACGGTCATGGCGACACCCCCAAGGGATATTCTGGAAGCAGAGCAGGCCGGCTGGAAGGAGCGGGCCTCCCCCACCCTGGGGCCGGGGGGGCCGGCCTTAAGGCTAACGCGGAGTTTGTGCCCGTGGGGGCCTCCCCAAGTCCTGCCTGTGTGCCCGACACCGGTCCTGGCCGGAGGCCCCAGGACCCAGCCCCGAGCCCCCTGCGTCAACTCCAGCTCCTGGTGGCCAGAGCTGCCGGGAGGGAGGGGGACGCCCCAGCTGCTGACGCCCGGAGCCCTCAGTGCCCTGAGCCCTCAGACCTGGAAGGGGACAGCGTGCAAGGGGGGAACATGGCCTGCAGCCCCACCCGGGGCGTCCCAGGGCGCGTACGCACGACGGCTGTCCTTGCTGTGGCCGGCGGCCAGCTGGGGCCCGAGGCTGACGGACATCTGGACTCACACGGCCAGGCTGAGAAGCCACAGGGCCAAGGCGGAGCGAGCGGACTGCAGCCAGATAACCCGGGGAGCCTGGTGGGGCCAGACAGCCTCTCCGCGGTCAGTGCCACTCCTGCAGCTGCCCCGGCCGGGCCGGCCAGGGGCTCAGACCAGCCAGGGGCACAGCTCCAGCGAAATGGGGGTGTCTTGAGCCTTCGAAAAGAGGCCACCCCAGGCCTCACCTCCTCTGATGCAGAGCCTTTGTCTGCAGCCCAGGCCCACAACGGGCAGGGGGCGCCAACCGCAGAGGAGGCGGCCAGCCCAGCGCCCCCAGTCAGGGGCCGGGCCAGCCGTGGGCCCCTGCCCCCTCCTGCAGCCACCCCGATGCCCCCTGGGCCGGAGCACCTGTCCCAGGAAGACCCCCCTTCAGGTGAGCTGAGGGGGCTGCTCCCGGCACGTCCATCCTGCAGGGACCCTCCCAGCCTGCGGCTCCCACCCACCCGTTCTCCTGCCGGGGCACCTCCCCAGAGGGCAGCCCGCACCCCGGCCACCACAGATGCCGGGGCCGGGCGAGCACCCGCAGTGCCCCCGTCTTTGAGGACAAGCCCCTGTGGCTTCAAGGAAAGCCTGGCTCCCCAGCCCCTCCCGGAGGACCAGAGTCCCCTGGAAGACCCTCCCTTGGGCCAGCCTGGCTTCATCAACGTCTTCACTCCTGCCCAGGGGGACGGCTGCCCCCAGGGCAGCACCTCAGAACCTCTAGAGGATTCCAGAAAAGAGAAGCCAAGGACATCTCCTGTCTCGGCCGCCCCTCCTCCCCCAGTGAGGGCCACCTCGGCTCCTGGCCTCCCTGCCCCAGATGGCACGGGGCCAGTCGGCTGCCCAGACCGCCCCTGCAGGCGAACTGCACCCCACACCAGCCCTAGTGGGATGCCCACGGAACCCCCGTCCTTGGACCCCCCAGGTGACCGGGAAGGCCAGGTTGTCACCGCTTTGCCCGCTGACCCTCCCACATGGGGGGCCACTGGGCCAGATTCCTACGGCTGCCAGGAAGGCGAGGTGGTGGCCAGCCACTCTGCTGGGACGAAGGAGTCTCGTGCGGGTAGCCGAGGCCCCCCAGCTCCCTGCCCCCCCACAGAGCTCCATCAGGGCAGAGTCCCCTCCCCCGGCCGCACACCCAGTGAGTCCAGACCCAGCTCCCCCCAGAGCCTCGGAAACGTTCACCACGCACCCCGGAGGGACCCCCTCAGCCCCCAGGGCACCAGACAGGAGCCTCGTGCCTTTAAAAAGAAGCCCATGTCCACAGAAAATGGCCACTGGAAAGACCGAGCCCCCGGCAAGCGGCCCGTGACCTGTGAAGTGTGTGCAGCCTCCTTCCGCTCCCGGCCGGGCCTGAGCCGCCACAGAGCCAGGAAGCACGGGCCGCACAGAAGTGTGGCCTCCCCACCAAGCCCCGTGGCCCCGCCCGCTCCCCAGCCCCCTGCGAGCCAGCCCCCCGGGAAGAAAAGCCGCAGGGCACCTGGGAAGGAGAAAGTGAGGCAGGCACTGAGCTGCCCCGGCCACACTCTCGGGCTGCCTCCTGACCCGGGCGCAGAGGCTCCTGCGGAGAGGTCGGGTCCCCAGATGTCCGAGGGACCTGGTGGGGAGGGGTTCGGCGCTCTGGGAACACCAGGCTGTACCCCTAGCCCGGAACCACCCCCCCCAGGCCTGGACGTGGCCGTGACGCCTGCAGAGCCCAGGAAACAAGACCGGCTGGTAAAGGATGAGCCTTGTCCCCAACAGACAGAGAAAGGCGGAGGCCAGAGGCGGGGCAGAGCGCCCACAAACGTCCCCAACAAGCCAGAGAAGAAATCACAGGAAAAGGCGAGGAAACCCAGAGCAAGAAGGGGGAGTGGTCCTCTGGTCCCTCCTGGTGCCATTACAGACGGATTCCGCGGGGATCCACCCGCGGCCGTCGCCAGTTCCCCGGTGCCTCCGGGCAGCCAAGCACCTGACGCAGATGGCTCCTGGCCGCAGGTGACGGCGGGCATGGAGGGCACAGACCCAGAGGAGCCAGCACAGAAGTCACCCCGGGATCGCATGGCCTGTCCGGGGGCGCTGGAGGGGGTGCCTCCTCGGAACGGGCAGGGGAGACGGAGGGCAGCCTTGGCGAGGGGGCGGGAGACCAGGACATCAGACGTCTCCGAAGAGCCGTCGGGGGCAGCCAGGTCTGAGCCTGCAGGGGACGGCAGAGCAGCTGAGGGCGGGTCAGGGCAAGGTGTCTGGGAGAGGCGTGAGCCCCTCTGGCGCCCCCCAGCCTGTACCCCTGCCGACGGCACCAGCAGCAGCTGCCCCCAGAGCCCCCTGCTCGACCCAAAAGCGGAGGCCAGGCTCCAGGAGTGCGAGGGCGCTCCTGGAGCCCCCAGCCCGGGCCTCGGGGACCCTCTGAGTGTGTTTGATGATGACGCCTCCTTTTCTCAGCTCTTCCCTCTGGGCGGCCGCCTGACCCGGAAGAAGAACCCGCGAGTCTACGGGAAGCGCTGTAAACAGCCCAAGGCCCCGCCAGCGCCAGAGCCCGGCGGTGAGGCGGGGGGCGGCCCGCTCGCCTCCGCCCAGCTGCCCACAGACCTCAGTGACTCGGGCTCGCTCTGCCTGTCCCACGAGGACCCGTGGGGCGACGAGACCACCGGTCTGCCGGAGTCCTTCCTCCTGGAGGGCTTCCTGAGCAAGATGCCTGGCATCGACCCCTGGGCCCCCAGCCCCGGCCTGTGGGCCCCAGACCCCGGCCCGGAGGTGGACTGTGTGGAGGGCGTGCCCCTCGGCTGCACTGAGGACCACCCGGCAGACAACATCCCCGAGCTGCACATGGTCCCAGCGGCCTGGCGAGACCTGGAGCTGCGGGCCGCCACCGAAGAGATGGCCTCCTCTCTGGGGGGCGAGAGCCCAGAGCCCCCCGACCTGGAGCGAGAGCACTACGACAGCGGGCTTCCCGGGAACGCCGTGGATCTTGGGCTGCTCGGCGCCAAACTGGAGGTGCGAGACCTGCGCTTCCTGGGGCCCTGCGGAGACCCCGAGGGCGTCCCCGGCACCGGCTTCCTGGGCTCCGGGGCCTCAGTGAGCCAAAGGGCAGAGGATGCCGCGGGCGCCGGAGGGGCGCCAGGCAGGGCGCGGCCCAAGGCCGGGAGGGCGTCGTACAAGTGCAGGGTGTGCTTCCAGCGCTTCGGCGGCCTGGGCGAGCTGGACCTGCACCGGCTGGCGCACAGCCCCGCGCCGCCGCCCACCTGCTACATGTGCGTGGAGCGCAGGTTCCGCTCGCGGGACCTGCTGCGCCAGCACCTGCGGGAGAAGCACGCGCAGAGCCAGGCGGGGCGCTGGGCCTGCGGCATGTGCCTCCGGGAGGCCGCCGACGTCTGGATGCACAACGAGCACCTGCGGGAGCACGCGCTGCGCTTCGCCCGCAAGGGGCGGGCGCGGCGGCCGCTGGGGGGCCGGGAGGGCGACGGCAGCGCCGCGGCGCAGGCGTCCGGGCCCAGGGCGGGCAAGCGCCCCGTGGGCGGGGCGGAGGGGGCGCAGGCCGGGGCCGGGGAGGCGTTCCGGGAGGAGAGGGTGAACCCCACGGCTCCCGCCACCCCGGCACACCAAGACGGCCCCGCGGCCCCGGCTGTGGCGGACCGCAGCCCTCCGAGCGCCTCCGCCAAGACGCCCCCCAGCCTGCCCCCGGCCCCCCGCGCCCACGGCGAGCCCCTCCTCCGCGCCGTGTCTGTGCGCATGCACGAGGGCTGCAAAGACCCCTCCCGCGACTGCCACCACTGCGGGAAGCGCTTCCCCAAGCCCTTCAAGCTGCAGCGCCACCTGGCGGTGCACAGCCCTCAGCGCGTCTACCTGTGCCCGCAGTGCCCGCGCGTCTACGCCGAGCCGCGCGAGCTGCGCGCGCACCGGGCCGGGGCGCACGGCGCGAGCGCGGAGCTGGAGCCGCCGCACACGCCGCTCTACGCCTGCGAGCTGTGTGCCGACGTCACGCACATCAGCCGGCGCTCCTTCGTGTGCAGCGCCTGCAACTACACCTTCGCCAAGAAGGAGCAGTTCGACCGGCACATGGACAAGCACCTGCGGAAGGCGCGGCAGCCGTTCACGTTCCGCGGCGTGCGGAGGCCCGGCGCCCCCACGCAGAGGGCGCCGGCCCGCGAGGGCGCCCTGCCCAGCAAGCGGCGCAAGGTGGCCCCGCCCGGCAGCCCCCCGGGGCCCGGCGCCCCCGCCCCCGCCGGCGAGGGGTCGCTCCCAGCCCTGCCGCAGCCCTGCCCGGAGGCGGCTCCCGGCGCCCCCAAGGGGCAGCCCAGGACCCCCGAGCGGCCTGCAGACCCTGCGGGCCGCCCGGCCTCCGGGGGCGACCTGCCCTCTGACGTCCCGGCGCTCCTGCCCCCGGCTCTGTCTCCTTTCCCCGCGGCCTCGGCTGATGGCAGAGACGGCCACAAGCTGGATGGGGCCCTAGAGAGCTCGCAGAGGGAGGCCTCTCCAGGCGGCCCCCGGCCTCGCCTGCAGCAGGCTCTCCCTCTGGGGGGCTCGTTGCCCCGGCCGGGGGCCAGAGGCCAAGACGGAGAGAAAAAGAGGGCCGCTGGCCCGTTCTCAGGGAGAGGCAGGACCCCAGGCGCCCCCGGCAAACGTGCCCCTGACCGTGGCCTGGAAGCCCCCTCCCTGCTCCGGAAGGAGAAGCAGGTGTCCGCGGGGCCCCCGCTGCCTGAGGGCGGTGCAGGGAGCCCCTCCCACAAAGGCAGTGCCGCCAAGGCTTTGGGCTGCCGGAGTTTGTCGAAGGACAGGTCAGCCGTGCCCGCTCCCAGCAAAGCCCCCAGGTTCCCGGTGCAGCTGAAGAAGGCTGTGGCCAGTCCGACAGCCCGAGAGCTAGCCCATGGCACCGAGGACAGGCCGAAACCCATCACCCTCAAGGCCAAGCTGAGCCCCAGCTCCCAGGGCGGGGGGGGCCCCCGGCACAGCACCAAGACATCCGGCGGCAGCCAGCCCCAGCCGGCCAGCGGGCAGCTCCAGAGTGAGACAGCCACCACCCCAGCCAAGCCCAACTGCCCGGGCCAGGGCCCCGCCCCAGACAAGCATCGTCCTCGAGCCCCAGCCAAGGGCTCTCCCAAGGGGCCAAGGGAAGCCGGTGACCAGGGGCCCCGGGGGAGCTTGGGCCCCAGGGAAGATGGGGAGGTCAGTGAAAAGAGGAGGAAGGGCCGGGCCCCAGGGCCAGCCAGGAGTGAAAGTGTGAGAAGCCTGGGGAGAGCCCACTCGGTCCCTGACAAGCCCCCCCGGGCCCCCCGGAAGCAGGCGACGCCCAGCCGCGTGCTCCCCACCAAGGCCAGGCCCAGTAGCCAGAAGGGCACGATGCCACCCCAGCCCTCGGAGCAGCAGCGGCAGGCGGGGCCGGGCCACACCCCCGGGGACTGCAGGCGCCCCAAGGAGGGGCAGGGCAAGGCCTGCCCCCAGGGGAGACCCCTGCACAGAACCCCCAAGAGGGACAGAGCTGTCCACGGTGCTGAACCTGCCAAGCCCCGAGCCTGCTGGACCGCCGAGTCCCAGAATGACCTCCTCAGCCAGCTCTTTGGGCAGAGAGTCACCAGCTTCAAGATCCCTCTAAAGAAAGACCCTTCAGAGTAATTTATAGACACGAGTGAGTACCTGGCAGCAGGGCTTGGATCAACCCAGCAAGTGGGGGCTCCCGTCTATGCTGACAGGCCCCAGTTCTCTAAGGGTGTTGGGTGGGTGGCCACGTGCTAATCCAGCTGCCTCATGCAAATGCCGAGTTTGGTATTAGGGCTGAGACTGTGATGCTCTGAGCGGGGCCTGGGGTGGACAGCAATCCCTCTCTAGGTGGAAGGTGAGCGTGAGGGCCAGGCCAGCTGCAGCCCCTTCGAGACCATACGGCGCTTTTCTCAGTACCAAGAACTTGAAGAGGAGGCGGCGCCCTGCCCTGCGTGCCCCACTGCCGAGGCTCAGCACGCCACAGACACTCCGTCTGCAGGCTTGCACGGGGTCCTCCCGCGTGTCACCTAGCAGGGGAGGGAGCTGAGGCAGCCTCCGGTCAGGTGGCCCCCCTTACTCTTGCTGCTGTTGCTGGAATTGCTTAGAAGCCACATTTCAGGGCTGGGCTCTCGCCGCTGGAAGAGCTGCGAGCCAGTGGGCCGCTCTGACCACAGAGAGGTGCTGGCCACTGTCTGCAGTGCACCTCGGCCCCTGGGGACTGGGTTCCCATCTGGAAGGCGGAGAAAGGCACTCACCAGCCAGCTCCCGCTGGCTCTCCCTCCCCAGGTGCCCTGCCTCTGCGGCTGCCCTTTCTAGAGCCTTCCTCCCACAAGGAGCTCTCCGCTGCAAGTATCAGCAATTTTACTCTGAATTTCTGGTGCTATTTCATGTCGTAATGTGAATTCAGGCTTCCTTGGTGTGTCTCACCTGGGGGGATGGGCGGGGAGACGGGCGCTGCACCAAGGCCCACCAGCACCAGCGGCCCTGGCAAGTCTTCCACTGGCTCCCTGGCCCCACGGGCACGGTCAGAGGAGCGGCCCGGTGGGACGCTCAGGGCCGCCCGGGCAGGGAGGCGACTCGTGCACTGACAGGACCCGGGGGTCGGCGCGCATGTCCTGTTTATGGAATTGTGTCTTCAAGGGGGGCAGGCGGGCAAGAGGGGCTCCCTTGGGCTTCTCTGAGGTTCATGGCTTGTGTTGGTCTGGTTTTCCTTTTTTACCTTGGGTGCAATGTGTGTCAAAGTGTTTATTTTGATATTTTGAAAGAGACCAAACTGGGCCCAGATTGCCTTTCTAAAAGGTGCTGTGTGCCACTCAGAATGCCTTCAGTGCTGACGAATAAAACACGGCGACCCTGAGGCTACTGTGCGGACCTTTGTGCCTCCTCCCGTTAGGCCCACCGTCGCTGTTCACGGGAAGCCCGTGGCTGTGCTGCCCGGCCTCCTGCCGGCCCTGCCTCCGCCCCGCCCCCACAGCCCAGCGTCCCGCCAGCTCCTCGGGGTTGTGAGCATGGCCTTTAGCAGTGTTCCCGAAGCTTCACTGCTGGGGCCCTCGGGGATCGGAGCGGGAGAGCAGTGTCGCGAAGCAGTCAGCACAGCTCAGTCTAGGGGCCCGGGAAGGCAGCAAAAGTAGTACAAGGGGTCAAAGCCGGAGACACCACCCCACCAAAGGCTCAGGCCTCGGGGCCCACCGTGTCCCGAAGACAACCGCCCAAGACCCCAGTGTCCGGGACAAGTGCCCGGAGGGCGGGCCGGGCTGTCCAGAGTCCAGCACCCATCATGTCCTGCCTCTGGGATGGAGCATCAGGGGCACTCGGAGCCGTGCCCAGCGGTGGGTGGGGAGAGGAGGGTGAGGCCATAAGTGGTGTCTCAGCGCTTCTGCCCAGGCCCACGGGGGCCCCCACCCACCCCTGTTCACCTTCCTCAGCCAGGAACACCCTTCCCAGGGGCTCCCCCTCGTCCAAGCCCCTCCCGTCCGTGCATCCCCAGCCCTGGGCAAGCTGTCTCCAGGGCCCCAGGGGGGCCCCGGGCCGCCCATCTCACGTTTGCGTGCCTGCTGTTTGCTGGGAAGTGAGCCACATGCAGCCCTGCTTCGGGGAGCCTCTAGACAGGTTCTGTTGTGAGTCGGGGGCTTTGGTCTCCTTCGGGGGTCTCGGTAGCAGGGCCTCAGATGCGGGGCACAGGGGTGGAGTTTGGGATTGGGGTGGAGTGAGTCTGAGCTGTGTCTGAGAACGGCCACCTGCTGATTTGGGGATGCAGACCCCTGGGGCCCCTGTTCAACTCCTCATACCTTGAGACAGCCGGGGACCCAGAGCGTCCGGGTCGCTGGGAACCCAAGGGAAATGGCAGACCCCTACCCGGATCGCAAGTCAGAGGTGCAGGACGCTGCCTGGCCAGCAGGTGGCAGCATCGTCCCAGCTGGGGTGCTGGGGCGGATGAGCTGCCAGCCCCGGGGCAGGGTGCCCGCCAGCTCCCACCGCCAACGCAGGAGACATGCCCACCCGCGGTCTGGCGTGGGGGACCTGGCCTTCAGGAGGGCCCGGGGCGGGTGCCCCGAAGCTCGATGTGAGCCACGGGAGTGGGCCGCACACACACAGGAGAGGGTTGGGGCGCGAGCAGCCTGAGGAACTGGCCGCCTCGGCCCTGGGCCCCGAGGGCCTGGCTCGTCCCTTCTAGGAAGCCAGCGTTGCTGGCGTCTCCCCCACACAGCTGGGCACCCAGGCAGGCAGGGGGACGGCTGGGCGCGCGTGTTAGCAGCAAGATCACATAAATGGGTGCGTCCTTCAGCTGCGTTCTGCCCTGGGCCCAAAGCCTGATCCCACCGACCCTTTAGTGCCACCAGCAGGGCGACAGGGCAGGACGGGTGGTCCCGGGGCCTGGCCTGGCCTGGGGCGTGGACGGCCACCCGAGGGGGAAGCAGGCAGGAGGAGCAGGCATGCGGCCCCCACCCCCAGGCCCCGTAAGGGGAGGCTTCCCAGGGCACACCCGCTCAGGGGAACCCCTGGACCACACTGTTAAAGCTCCTGGGCCGCAGACCCGTCAGAGAGGCCCGTCTCCCGGGCAAGGGCAGGCGGCCACGCTCACACAGTGGGGAGACTTGGGATTATGAGAGACAGTCTCATAGGAGCGCCGCCAGGGAAGACCTGAATCCTTGCCCTCTGGGGCGCCCCCCAGCATTGGGGCTCCGGAAGCACCCCCATAAGGGGATGAGCCTAGGGGCCCCCTGGGCCCTGCCACATCACCTGTGACTGTGCTCATGTGGGCTGTGGAGGTGCAGCCCAGAGGCCACGTCCCTCCGGCCCCCCATTTCCCGCCAGTCCAGTGTGTAGACAGTAGCCCATCGTTTCCCGGGAAGCCTGCCTTCCAGCCCCAGGGCCCCCTGCTGTGGGATCATGGCCCTTTGGGGCTCTCTCTCCCTCCTGGCCACTCTGGGCCCAGGCACCCACGGCCACGACCCCTTTCCCATAGGACAGCGCCTCCCTCACCAGCCACACAGTGTGGCCTCCTCCCTGGAGCCCCCATGTGGGAGGGGGCAGGATGGGCCTTCCTGTGGGTTTGGCCGGGCTGGAACAAACTGCACCCCGTTTCTGGGGCCTGGGGGAGAGGGCAGTGTGCTCTGCTGCGTGGGGCGAGCACCAGGGCCCGCAGGGCTCTGGCCGGAGCAGGAAACCTCGGGTTTGCCACCATCCCCTGGAGACCTCAGCTCTCCCGGCCATCGAATGGGCACGATGATCGCCCAAAACTTTTCCAGCCCCAGCGTTCAGAGGCTCCCTCCGAGGGCTCCGGACTGTGGCCCGCTGGACGCAGCCGCGTCTCCTCCACTGTCTGGACCCTCTCCCCTCGGCCAGCCTCCTGCTGCCCCCTCCCCTCCCTCAGCCCTTTGCCCAAACAGCACTTCTTCTTTGTGGCCTCTGTGACCATCTGTGGACCGAGGTAGCCGGCCCTCGACGACCATGGTCACCCTCCTGCCGGACTCTGAGGACGCGCGTGTTGTTCACGCTTGTACCTGCAGCGCCTCAAGTGGGGCTCCCTGCGCGCTGGGTGGGGAGGAGGGAGGGGGCGCAGGGGTGGGGAGGGGGGAGGAGGGCGCTGGGTGGGGAGGGGGGAGGAGGGCGC